CATCCGTACGTGACATAATAGGTAGATGGCAACCTTCGATGGAATAAGTTGGTTGAATGTGAGTCATGAAAAGTGTTGTTATAACTAATAAGCGATACAAATGTCTTGTACTTTGCAGCGAGCAATCAATAAGTAGAATTCGAACTTTGTAGATGTGTAACAAGACAGAAATAAATAACTCTTTGAACTTAGCAAGTCACCTTTCAACATTTGGGGATAGTGGCATAATCTTCAAGCAGATTTTTTGGTAAATAAGGTAATATCTACTGACTATTGGATACTATCTTGCCTCTTGGAGACCATCTTGGCTGCTAAAAGAACTGCTTGGAGATCAAGTCACTTTCACCAAATATGGCTACAAGTTCTATGATCAAGGCCAACCGGCACATGAAGAGACAGAATAGAACAGATGATACACATTATATAATAGGGACTAACATCTCCGAGGAGATACTGGTGTGGAAGACTCTTAATGTTTCCTCACTGCTTGGTAGCCTCTTATCTAAAACCTGGTTTTAGCCCTATATATAACTTGATAAAAAGTTTCAGCCTTCCCTTATCTGCACGAGGACGCATCATTTATCAATCCTTTAACACACATCTGTAATGTCAACCACTGATGGTTAATACCCGCGGGCAGGCTGGGTAATAGGATTCATTACATTACCGCGCAGTCACGTGATCCATTAGTAACTGTTGATTGAAGACACTTCACAGCACACTGTCAATGGTCAATCCTCCTGGCTTGTAGACCCCAAGATTAATGGCTTTGATACCTCCGAGTTGGCTGTGCTTCACGGAGTAGATGCTGATGTTGCCAATGTTATTAAATTTGCCTCAACCCGAGATGCGTTGATTGCAACATCTCACACAAACACTCACAGGAAAGTTGTCGTCAAGCTGAAACTTTTAGAATTGCCTGATATGGGCATCGCTCATCCCAAACTTCACTTGTTCTGGTGTGAGCCATCACCCTCGCAAGACAGGCGTTAGTTAGTTGGTTGAAGGCTTCCCTTATGTTAGACCAAATTGTCAGCATCGTTTGAAAACTCCGTGCAATGGCTCTCAATACTTGATAAAGCCCTGTTGAATTTGTCTTTGTCCATGGAAAAACGGGAATCAATTGCCCTGGGAAGTTCCTATTTGACTTAACATTCCTTGATGAAATGCTGGGTAACACCCAGGTGCAGGAGTACGGCTTCCTTGAACTTATTAGGTTCGGTGATTTCAGTTATGTCCAGGGGAAGCGCGTTCCAGTCTCTGACTGGTCGAGGAAAATAGGAGTATCTGTAGCCGTCTTTATGAACTGTATACTTTTACAGCACGAATTGTCTTTTTACTTATCAAAGAAACACCTCATAACATATCAGTGCCCCAACGGCAGCTATCATGATGATAACATTCACCCCTGGAGTGAACCTACCTTTGCCACCAGCCCCAAACTTTATTTGAGGATCGCCAAAGTTTGAGGATCACTAATCTCCAGACAATGCGTAATCCAACTGCTGCAAGCATTTTTTTAACCTTTCTCTTCCACTCATTCATACCAATCTACAGTTTCCTTTAGTGTGTGTTGGCAAAAACAGTTGAAAAACGTAACATGTACATTCTAGGTTGTCCAAAGTGAACTTAACTCATGTAAACTTGACACAAGACGTTTGGCAGCATATTTCTGATGTAACGCTGACAAACGTCTACAGGGATACAATAAAGCTCACCCCAGGAGATGAGGTAATGATCTGTAGCAGGATAATGTAAATCATCCACTGGTCACTGAGGTATTGAAGTCTTGTCAGCCTAGGGCCACAGTCTCTGGTGACTACAATCCATCTATTCCATGTGCCTGCGACAAGCATCGATCTAAACTTGACCCCAATTGACAAATCAATGTGTAATTATCAGCCAAATCTGCAGCAAGAGCGATAAAGAGAAAAGCAGCTATTCATTGAGTAGCGAGTCGCCATTCATTTGTCTGAGATGGCAGAGAGCTGATTGTTGTCATTTTCAAAAGTGTTGTATCAGCCAGAGGGGCTGAAAGGGAAAGTTTGTAAGTATTATTGATTTTTCCTTGAAATTCGCTTTATTAGATTGAAGCATCGACTTGATATTACGCTCATCAAGGCCTTGATGATATTCCGAAGTATTGTCATCCTGCGATCCATTGTGTTCTGCAGACTGATCTTTTATGTCTTTTTGTCCTTTCTTAAACCGTCAGTTACCAACTGATGAAGCTAATCAGAGACCTGGTATGCACTGAAGGCATATCTTTCTTTGACACATAACTGTTACCGATAATTTGTCTGAAAACTTAAACAATAAAACTACAGGCACTCTGGATTGTCTTTTTTCTGCTCTGTCTGCAGGTTCTGGAGTCCCATTGATTGCACATCATGGTTAGAATATCGACAAGACAAATGGATAAACCATTTACAACTTGATGGGTGCCTAAGGATGAAGCCGATGTAATGACACAAACTGTTGTCCTCTTTTGGGTCCAGCAGTTTTATCTTCTCTAGAATTCCCTTATGGTTGATTCTCGAATTGAATCATCACTGGGGGCAAAAGAAAATCCATCAGGCTGCGTCTTTCTTAGAAGGTCTTGTTACCCAAACTGTGGGATACACATTGATGTTGAAGTGCCTGTCAATATCTGCTACTTGGGAGAATGAACGCATAACCATTCTACTTTGTCTCTTTGCTTTCAGTTTAACTCACTTGAGATGTGCTTTCATATATATGAGGAAACTTTAAAGACTAGAAAGGCCGACATTTGCTTTGGAGAAAATACAGCATGGCTTCACCACATTTTACGACATGTTTCCACCGATTTACAACCCAAGAGACTCCTTTCCCTGGCCAATACTTGTAAAAAGGCAAAGTAACTAGAAAGGCCAATATTTGCTTTGGAGCAAATACAGCGATGGGTTCACCACATTTTACGACATGGCAGGGAAAGAATGGGAAACACAAGGGAAAACAATGATTTACATTGATATAACTATAATATGAAGTAAAATACAACTAAAACAACAGTTGGATAGCTATTCCCTACTTTATTGGTTAGGATTTTTAATTGCATAATGCAAACTGTTGATTTTCAAAATAAATAAAAAACGTCCATGCCCGGCATTCCAATGCTGGAGCAGGAAAGCTTGAAATACCTACCAAAACACTTGAATACAGACATACTGTCAGTATGGAAATGCTTCTGTGCAGGTGTTAATCAAGTTAAATCCCAACAGCCAATCAGCAAGAAGTATAGAGGAAAGCTGCATGCCTATTGGTTGATGCCCTGCATTCCATTGTGATGACTCATGCCCAAACGTGGTAAACAAGGCAGACTAACACAGTAATACATTTGCTATAACACAGCCAAAAAACTCAAATAAAACCATTCTAAAAGCCTGTATCACAATAATTTAAAAAACGCCTAGGGGTATTTGCCCACTGTACCTCCATACCAAATTTCAGGACCTTAGGCCCTAAAATGAAGAAGCTGAATCCATTTAAAGATATGGCAGGAGGAGGAGAAGGAGGAGGAGAAGAAACATCAGAAAAAGCAATATGGTTTCACCACACCACTTCGTGGTGTGGTGAACCCATAATTATTCCTATTATAAGTATGTGGAACCATACGCAGGTGTTCATTTAGCAGTAAAGTAATTAAGGGAACAACCAATCAGCAAACACATCTGCAACCTGGGATGCACCTGCTGCCCATATTTGGGCAATGAGCTCCTGGCCCAAAAAAGTTAATCCAATTAAACCCAGTACCCAATCAGCAAGAAGATTACAACTGCCCTGCGATCTCAAAAGCTCCATGCCTATTGGCGGTTGCTCTCTACATTCCTTACTGATGATGTCATGCTATTCTAAACAATTAATCTCGCGCACACAAATCATCTCATCATGAACAGGTGAGAAAGATTGGAGAAAACAGGTGGGCCTGCCACGTGTAAATGCGTAGCGCACGAAGACGAAGCGATGGAAGCAAGGACAAGACTCAAGAGGAGAGGGACCGGACAGTGCCGTTGTAGGAAGGAAACAGTGGGGAAACTTGTGAAAACAAACCCGCCTGCATTTCGGTATTTACTTGTGAGCACCCGAGCGTTGGTGAAAAGCCTGCTCCTCAGTGAAGTTCCACATGTCTTCTCCAGCCAAGTGATTGGATAGTTTACGTTCCTAGCTAGCTGAAGTTCTACCAATCTTCACCAGATGGCGCTTCAGTGCTGTTGGGGGAAAGTCGACAAAGTTTGAAGGTGAGTAATGACAGTTACGAGCACAGCGCGATTCTATTGTATATTGACTATTGTGATCAACCAAAATATCAAAAGCTGGCGGTGTGCCAAATAGGATCATCCGGGAAATACCGTAACAGACGAATCGGCCCTCGTTTTTTAATATTTCAATGCTATTTTGCAGAGGCCATGCTTGTATTTCTCAGTGACTATCGATGCTTCTTTCCTTGTTCCAAAATTTGCCTCAAATTCGAATTCGCAGTGACGCTCTATTGAGACGAATTTTGGCAGCGCGATCTTGGTCTTGTGTATACGTACAAATTCACTGCTACGTGCGATCATGGTGTTCTAGACAATATGTAAATAACTATGTAATACTCATGTATATAAAATATAACCGCGTTTGTTTTTGCTGTCCACGTTGGCCGCTTTTGTGGGGGAAGTTGTCGGAGAAAGATTTGTGTGGACGACATGCTCCTATGGCATTAAACTGGCGGAGAAAAAGTTACAGTCCGCACTGTGCTGTTCTTTTGAGACGAGCTAATCTCTCTTCCAGTGGCTTTAACATTTGTCTTTGTCTGTGCGTATTCAAGATAAAGGACATTTTAATAAGATGGACATAATGGGAATAATTAATATTGAATGTGTTCATCTCACGTTTCCTTGAGCAGTTTTTTTATAACACTGCTAAGTATGGGCTCTCACTACTGGGAACACGCCGTGTGAGATAAAGAAGAAAAAGCAACAGTCTGCATTGGAGCATCATATTTTATTCAAGTTTGTCCAAAAGCACAAAACTTACCATCATACAACCGTACGATGTCTTTTGTATAGTATGTTAACTTAGCCTGCATCTACAGAACCAAAGGCTTATTCCTCAAACTTGTTCAAAAACTTGCTTTTCTTGTCATCAATTTTGTATAATTACGTATATTATGATTATCATATACATATCATATATTATACATGAATACAAAATGACACAGTCATTGTAAAAGATTCAAAGTAGCCACACATTCTGTACGTTACATGAGATATAGTCTGGTCTTAAAGACCATTACAATATTTTTTTGAAAGCTGCAACTGACAATGCTATGCACTGTATATATTTGCAGTACATGATATATACATGTAACGTTATATGTACAACTTACTAACAGTATATAAAAGTATTATTTACATAGTGCTCTGCATCTTAAGAAACACATTACGATTTATAAAATTTATATTACTTTTTTGGCTTGCGGTAAATACCTTTTATACATGCATCAAAATGTTGATAACTGTACACACGAGCCATTCATGAGATCAAAACATCTCTTATTGAGATAAGGCTGCATTTTAAAGATGAAGACTTTTTCTTAGTCCACAAAGTATAGCTCATAACATGTATGACATGTCCTGATAGTGATAAGCCTAACTAAAGAAACATCCCTTATTAAGGGAAAACTGTTTACCTCCTTAGAAATGTATTGCTACTTGGCAGATTTGCTGAGTATTATCATGACCATCATGATCTTTGCCGCATGCCAATGCTTGGCACTGAAGTGGGCTGTTATTGTTTGGGGTATAACAGTTGATTGAGGATTAGAGATAACATTACGGAACTTGGAAATTTACTACAAAGGATTTCCTTAACATGAAAACAGGAAATACTTTTCAGTAAATTTCATGCACCTTTTAAGGTACAATCAACTAAAAAACTCGAAGTGTATGAGAAACAAAAATCATCTACTTGAACTGTCCTGTCTTATAGTACCAACCCACAAAGTTTATCAACTCCTTATGATAAGTGTGAAAATTACTGTCTTCCATCAATTCTGGATAGTGGAATCTGTTCATTTGTATGAGAGTGTACATAGTAGAGTCATGGTAGTAAAGCCATAAATGAGCTACAAGGTAACAACTGTGGAGAAACAAAATGATCAGCTGAAAAGTGAATAATGTGGGGAGTGTGGTAACATTAAGGACTCCTGTAGCAGTACAATAGAAAATGATTGCCCACTGTAACAGTTCAAAACCCAAAGATACTATGATGCAGTTCCGTACATCGGTGTACCTGACATTTGCAAAGGAGATGCATCTCTTCAACTCTGCCCTTGTCTTTTTCTTTCTGAGTGTCTTGCAACATTCATACATTTCTTTGAGTTTTTGCCGATAGGCTGATGTATGCTGGCCACAGAAGTGGCCCTTCACAAAAGGAACAATGAGAAAGGTACATTGCAAACTAAGTGAAGAGCTATCACACTGGACATAGTCATTGTACCATACAAGGTTGAAGAGAAGTATGAGAACTAAAACATTTGTACTATTGTACAGTAGGACCCCTATGTAAGTCATAAGACTGGGATCTTCAAACTGGCGAAACACCTGTTTCCATGCCAGGTGTAGAGGTGCCATTGCAGACTTACATATTGCTTGTAGATACACGCATGCAGACTGCAGGAAAGACATCACACTTTGGGAGCCATTGCGCAACCACCCCCGGCCATTACAAGTTCTACATCTTCCTACAAGGTGGAAAAGATTTTTGTCATTACTGAAGTTAATTGTTACAGTATTGTGTCATGATGTGTAATGTGCTTGATATTCTTAAGAGCTTATTACAGCAAATCATATCATAATCAGCACAGCAAATTCCAACTCTTTATTCCTACCACATTCATTTTACAACAAATTTATTTAAAGAATAAACCTCCTGGTTGTGTAAAAAGGGTCTACCAAGTTGAACCTGATTAAACTATTCACAAATAAATTTACTACTTGGCAGTTGGCACTATAATCCATATTGTTTATATTGACCCTTACCTTCAGGTAGACCCCTTGTTACCAACTTGACATGGGACAAGATCAAGTAGAACAGGTACTGTAGCATCTCATGGATGATCATTCCCATCAGAGCCTGGAAAAATGTAGATATTTCACAATGATACAAAAGTCTAGAATAAAAGTATTCATGACAAGCAGTGTCATCAATCAGAGACAAGCTACATGCAGGAAACTTTCACAAAAAGGCAGGCACTGTACAATTATATACATACATTTGTAAAACTACTATCTTTTTTTTACTATGAGCTTCAAAATCTATTATCAAAAGGAGAATAGCATTGGAATAAAACCAAACAGTTTGTGATACCACATCTACTGATAGTCAACTTACCACCTCAGCTTACCATCATGAGCAATGGTCAGGCAACTGAGGTTAAATGCTTTTCCCTGGACCAAACCCCCTACCTCACTGTCCTGGTGATGGATAATCCACAATGATTGTTATTCTTCAATGTAGCCGGGGCCCTCCCTGACCAACATGGTGTCCCTCTTCCAATCCTAATAATGTAGCCTCTTCTGAAAGTAAGCTGAGATTAGTGGAATGTTTATGACATGACAGAACACCTATAAAATACAGCTAGGAATGCAATATTCTCAGAGTGCTAGAATATTACCTGTGTATCAACACTCTGCAATAGTGGACTTGGGTAGCAGCTGGATTGTCTCTGTAAGGCTGTGCCATTGGCCGGTTCTGCAGTTTCTTCTCTGCACTTGCCAATCCCTTCCAACTTTCAAACGACATTTAAAAACTGACCTAATAGAGAAGCCATCTACCACTTCCTGATTTGCTTTTGTTTTCCTTGTTTTCTTATGCTACGATATTTTCCTTGCGTTAATATTGGTTTCTTATGTTGTTCTTACCATATTAACTTATGATTTGACTAATGGAAATGTATTTTTTGTTGAATACGATATGTTTTTGATTGTCTTACTTTATTGTTTAGATATTTAGTTTGCCGTGTTAACTTTATATTATCTTGTTTGAGTTAATTTTCTCTTGTTTGTCCCTTAAGACATGCATGTTAATTGTTAACGTAAATAATGTTGTAAATATGAGATCAACAACAGGATTTGGGAGAGCCCACTAGATAAACCTCCTGGTTTCTTGGGCTCTCCTGCATGTATTTGATTGTACATAATTTCTTTTTATACCATTACTTTTTTTATGTGCGAAAGGACAATAAACAAAAACAAAACAAATAATAAACAAGTGTATCTTGTTGTGACTTAAAGACTCCTTAGTGAATTACTCTGTCTTCCCCATTGGCACTTGGTTATTGTCTTGAGTCTGACCACATGACATGGGGCCATGGCTAGACATTTGGCAAGACGTCTTGTGACAGGCCAGGGTCTCCTTGCTCGCCTTGGGTTGTCTGGGATGGACCAGGATAGCGGAGTCAGACCCAGCAGCGTGACGTGGCGATCGTACGCCTTGTTGTGGCGGAACTGCTCGTCTGTCCCATGGAGACGGTCCAGAACCCCCATCACACCGTAGCACTGGTTAAACCTGTGGAACAACATCACATCGTATCACTGGTTAAACCTGTGGATCAACAGCATCACACCGTAGCACTAGTTAAACCTGTGGAACAACATCACACCGTAGCACTGGTTAAACCTGTGGAACAACATCACATCGTATCACTGGTTAAACCTGTGGATCAACAACATCACACCGTAGCACTAGTTAAACCTGAGGAACAACATCACACCGTAGCACTAGTTAATCCTGTGGAACAACATCACACCTTAGCACTGTGTTTGCTTTTACACAAGTTTGACAGTACTGGAAATAACCAAGCCTACTTCACATGGTGGAAATTGTGTGCCTCTGGGGAGGGCAGCAGGGGGAAGTGGTAGCCGCTGTGTGAGATGGACGTGGCGGTGAGAGACAGGCAGAACCACAGCCAGACGGTCACCAAATGGGACCCCATCAGGATGGGACCTGGAACCCAGTACATGTACAC